GGAATAGCCTTCCTGATAACGTTCGGGGTTCAGACACACTCTCTCTGTTTAAATCTAGATTAAAGACACATCTCTTTGGCAAAGCATTCAAATAATGCATCTCATAATCTTGTACTGCAGTTATACCTGATCAAATGCACATTATTATTCCTTAGCTTGGGTTGAACTTGAACAAATAATTTTTGCTTGGTTGGAATAGCAGCTACGCTAATTATGTCTATTTGTTTCTCTGTTTCTGCCACAGGATTAACATACCATGGTAACTAGGAATTACACAAGCTTCAGTCTGGATCCAGCCCTACAAAGACCTGAGATGACCGAACACCTGAGAAGAGATGATGCCAACCCAGAAACAACAAACTACCAAATTTTGCTACAAGTTTGATTGCAACATATAATCATTGCTGTTAATAGTGTTCATCGTCTGTTTGATTACGTCATTAACTGAATTTTACCATACATTTCTGCCATATGTACATCAATTTGACAGTCACTACTGATAAGCTACTACTAAATATATTGTAGAAACTTAATTTTCTGTAAAGCTGCTTTGCAACGATTTGTATCGTGAAAAGCGCTATACTAATAAACTTGAAATGAACTGAATTGAAAGTGTTATCAAAACGCATAAAACGGCAACCATCGTTGATTATGTGAACAACAGATACTCTCAGCGGTAATATCACTGGAACAGTTAATACTGAAATGTAATCGTTGCATGTGTGAAAGTCCCATTGAAACACTGCAAGATCTCTATTAGTGGAAGTTTGTTTAGTAAAAAGACTGAAAGAGCAAGAACCATCAGCATAATTTAAGAGCAAAAGCATTCAAGTTCAGAGGACACAGAGATCCTAAGGAGCAGAGGGCACTTCCTTGTGTCCGCTGTATACCTTCAAGGGTCAGATGGGTGAGAGGTCTCAGAGAAGTCATGAGGTACAAAAATGACAAAATGATAAGGGCGGTAAAGACGTTCTCATGGGACAAGTGAAAAACAGGGCAGGTGTGATAGGAACGTCTCACATCTGCAGCATAGAACTACTCGAAGGAAGCAAACAAGTGTTTGAAAATGGGTCCAACATTGCATAACTTGTCCCTGATATCGGTTAGATGCTTGTGGACATGTTCATATGATGTCACTAAGGTCAAAAGACAATGTTTTGCAAGAAAGAAAAATTGCTGTGTCAATAAAATCAATTGGAATACCTGAGAAACCATGAATTTGACTTGACCATAGTATACTTATGTGTGGAAGATTGCCAATAGCAATGGGCCCTGTTTACACTTGATATGGTGATCCAAACTCAAGTGCTAAATAAGCATTTGTAGAGTAAACATCACTGTGGCCTCAACAACCCTGAAGGTTATGATTACATGGTACTGAATTGCTATGGTAAGTTTTGATTAACTAAATCACACACATTTTCCTCTTCATGGTATCAAATCTTGAGATATTTCGAGTCTCTTCTTGTACAAGTGGGCTGTTCTTGATCAGAATAAGTTGTAAAGTGGACCAGACCTTATGCCGATAGTCCAAAGCAGGGGTGTCTAATCCTGCTCTGCACTCATAAAAATAAAGGTTCTTTATTGGCATCAATGGTTTCATGAAGAACCTTTAACAACATATAGTTATAGAAACTCACTTATGGGAACTAGCCACCAAGTTGGTCCCGAGAACTAAACTTTCCCCTAGGACCATTTTCCTGGTTGCATTCACACCACCAGTAGGAACTAGGACTGGGTATTCAAGGGAAAAAAATCTCTCAACTAATGCTGTAAAATATACATGAGAGTCGGTTGGTACTACATTACAATAATATTAAAGGTTAAAAAAAATGATTTGTATACCAACAAATTACACTCAATTACGTTTTTATAATATGTTATAATACTAATTTTGACGTTAAATTACAAAATTATATTTCTACACCAAGTCATTTTTTAATATACACATTTAAATGGTTGCTGTCATAAAAACTTGATGGATTTATTCAAACATAAATATTGAAGCACAGTAAAAAAAATTATGATGAATGCTATATGGTGCATATAGTTAGCGAAATGCTCCTCTCTAGAGTTAATTTTTCTAGCTGACTAATGAGTTTTCGGTCACAGAATGTGTTTTTTTTTTCTGAGGTAAATGTGATGTTACGTGACATACTGTATTGTTTTCCAAGACATATATTGATGTATTTTGTGTGGTTGAAACGATAATAGAGTGATTACATGAGACAGGATAAGTTGTACTTCTTTTAACATACCTTCGGATATTCATTCATGTTTATTTCACGCTGTAACTGGTATTGATGCGGCGGACATGATCAGTTCATGTGCGTTTCGCACTGCCAATTCTCTTGAACTGAGGTGCTACAGCGATCTGTCCCTCCACATTAAACAGCACCGAAATGACTTTTTTTTTTTATATATATTATAATAAAATGGACAGAATTTGAAATATGAGACTTTATTTTTATATCAAAAGTAACAAAGCACAAAGCTTATTGCAATTTATTGGATAGGAGGTGTGCTACAATGTTCCGTTCATTAATTGAAAACAGGCTAGGCTAATTGATTCTTGGGATTTAAGAATCGATATTGTTGTTTCACAAAACTGAAAATCATTTAAAATTGAGAAATGTATATATTTTTTTACCCAGCCCAAGTAGGGACAATGCATTGATGCAAGCCGGACGACAGCTTCATCATTTAAGAGCGGCATTCAAGAAATTAGTTCGTGGAGTAAGTATACGTAAACTGTGTTTACATGGCTTTTTAAAAATGACAGGCTTTGTATGGTATGTGTATGGTTTTGTATGGTATGTGTTTGACCAACCACCGTTGTGGTAGTTTATGTCGACGGTAGTTCCTATTGTGCTGGGTTAGACCCTACTGTGATGTAGGAGCTAATTTAAGAGGCTTTCGCACCGGGAAGTTATAGGAACTAGCCTTCAACACGCGTTCACAATATTACCACACTGCATGCGTGTGGTGCTGCTGATGCAGGAGCCGCTGTTTTGATGTAGAAAATGTTTGCAATCAACACGCATGTGTCATGGTACGTGCATCGAAGACTGACACGGAAGAGAAGAAATGGTTGAATAAAGTTCTTATTTTGTTTTCTTTGCGCACAAATAGTATTCTCGTACCTTCATAAAATTACAGTTGAACCACTGATGTCACATGGACTATTTTGTTGATGTCCGTACTATGTTTTTGTGTCTTGAACGTGGTAATTGCGTTGCTATCTACACTTAAAAAAAATTATACTAAATTAAGGTAAGTGGTTGCAAACAATTTATTTTAGCTACATTTAAATAAAAACTAAATTTGTTTATTTAAATGTAGCTAAAATAAATTGATTGCACCCACTTACCTTAAAAAAATGTGTAAATTCAATGAATCTTTTTCAGTGTATGCAGGGTCAGAAAGCTGTCAGATTTCATCAGAAATATCTTAATTTGTATTCTGAAGACGAAGGTCTCACGGGTGTGGAACAACATGAGGGTGAGTAATTAATTAATGACTTAATGAATTTAAATTTTTTGGTGACCTATCCCTTTAAGAGTACAGAGAGCCATCTTCCAGCAAGTTGAGCTCCAGCCCTAATAAAACACACCTGAACCTGCTAATCAAGGTCTTCAGGACTACTAGAAACGTCCATGCAGGAGTGTTGGAGCTAAACTCCGCAGGAAAGCAGCCCTCCAGTAGCTGGATTGGACACCCCTGGTCAGCGTTAAAAAAAAAAAACATTTGACATGACTGGAAATTTCTTCACTATTCTCGATAATGAACATGCAGTGATGCACATCCGTAGTTCAGAGCACGGAAATCTTTTGACTGATTAAACCGAAACACATTAATATCAGGAGTAAACGGGGCCTTAGTGGTTCCCATGGTGTGGAAGGACCCACAGCTACATTTACTTTACCCTAGACGCTATGCATTACGTTCTCGATGACTGGGGATCTGAAGGTATACATCATTTCTAGAATGAGGGTGGTTAAAAGCACCAGAGACAAAGCAGTACAGAAGAGAGGCAGCAAAGAGATGGAAAAGGCCCGGGGCAAGGACCCAAAATCTTACCCAACATTAATACTGCTGGCCCTATAGGCAGCGTGGAGAGAGACCAGATACAAACAGATGTGTGAAAACGCAAGATGGAAACACTCACGCACATTAATTCAGACTGGCTGCATCATGTCACACTCATCCTGACATCGAACACTCTGAAGCTAGTAACACAAAGTGTGATTTGGGAATTACCTTGGCAATGCAGTTGATATGCGGGTCTCCTCGTGGCCTAAGCCCAATCACCTGCAAAGTAGTATATACAATGAACAAAAATCCTTCTAAATCTATTAACAGGCCTGATCGCATGCTTACATTTCTAGGATGCAACTGGAACACAATGCATGCCGGATTGGAAATTTTGCGTCCTTGCATGTTTGTCTGGAGAACATATGCTAACACAGGTGTTCTCAACTCTGGCCCCTGAGGTCCACTTTCCTGCAGAGTTTAGCTCCAAGATCTTCAGGATTGCTAGAAAGTTACAGGCAGTCAAGGCTGCTCAAGGTTGGAGCTGAACTCTGCATGAAAGTGGATCTCGAGGGCAAGAGTTGAAAACCTCTGTGCTAACAGCTAGCTTTGACCTGGGAGAGCGTAAAAACAGTGACTCACTCGATTCATCTTGACTAGGATGCATGGCTGACCCTCGGAATAACCGAAATTGCTATCAGCCAGTCCAGAGCACTGTCGTAGCACACTTCTCTTGAACTGGCAAACCTTCTTCTCCTCAACATCGTCTTGCTCAAAGTACATACCCTCGGGACAGGGCTCGTTCGCCTCCTGCAGAGAGTCATTGTACGCTGAAGTAACAGATGAGAGAGAGTAGATGGTGAGATAAAGGTGTCAAGCTGGAAATCTTCAGCAACAATTTGTGACAATTGTGTGGTTGGGAGATGTCTTTCTTGTCAACAAGTGTGACCATTTTGGAAGTCTTTGAAAGCTGCAAATAAGAAAGATCTTAAAGACCCTAATATATGACTTGAGAAGCACAACATCCCTGTGTTGGAGCATTTCATTTTGTTAAATAACTAATAGTTTTAGTTTAAAATCTGCGTTCCGTTTGAAGTCAGAATTGGGACATTGTATCGTGAGGAAGGAGGACGACATAAAAATGAACGGTCAACAAAATAGCAGATTGCAGAGGACGCCATGTTGGCTTTGTCATGTGACCTTTCACTGCCATTCACAAGTCCTCTCCCTTGACCTCATGGGATAGAGAAGTGTCCATCAGATGTGCACTTCAGAATCTTCAGTAGCAGGTCATCCCGGTACACTTCGTCTACTGTTTCATGAACACTACGAATACAGACATACTTCTCATTTGACACACTGTTTTTCATCTACTATATAATAGGATATCTACTGTATATTTAGGCATCGGACACATAGAGGAATTTTGACTTGTGTTTATCATTAGCCACATACTTGGGTGCTGAGAAGTGAGAATTCTGACTTCAAGAGGTGTTCTTGTCTTCCAAGGAGGAAGTAGGCAAGCATCAGACACACCACTAAACCACAGTTTGCTATGGCTAATGAGTGGTTGGTGGAATTAGGAAAGAGCAAGTGTTTTATCGGACAGGTTTTAGCAGATACACATGATTTCAAAACTAATAGACGTGGACTAAAAACCACAAGACTGATTGCATGGGGTCCTTAAATGAGTCACTTGTGACTGCTGTAGCTGATCTTTAACTGATCCATTCAAGAAAGACTTCACTTTCTGAGCTTTCCGATGGGATGGTGACAGCATACAGCTGATAACAACTTGTGCAGTTAACAGGCAAACTCAAGTACATTTAAACCATCAACGGCGGGAGATCACATCCAAACCAGAGGCTACATAAGCAGGACATTGAGAAGTTTTTGTACTGAGAGATTAAAATAAAATATATTTGACTATGCCACCACCAAATGTATAATTTTCATAATATAGGTGATTTTATGTTAAGTCTTGTTTTTCTGCACAATATCTGACTGCTGCACCTCGTCCTCCTCCTAAATTCTTAAGTGTAGCTTTTGCTTGCCCAAATATGACCTTGATGAACGACAGTGCTACAAAAACATGTTAGTAAAAATGTGTCTTTATTTTATCTAAAATCTGGCCATATTAAGAATATCCTCCAAATAGGATTTGTTGCAAACATTTTATCCACCCACACAAAGATAATGTTTGCAGGTTCTTAACAGAGTTGAATTCTTGATCTTGTGCACTTGAGAGCTCTCAAAACCACATAAATGTGGCTTAAACTGGCTCTCAAAGCTCAGTCTTATAGATGTGGGTCTTGTCTTATGGTCTCATTTGTACTAAAGGTGTCTATTTTTACCAAAGGTGACATTACCTCAACCTAACAAGACTTCAGGCTCTGACGAGCTTATTGGTTCTCTATTTCAAATCATTCAAATGGACCGCCTGGTTCTTGGACCATTAGCTCATGGTCTGGATCTGGTTCTCGAAAGGTCTGGAGTTCGCGCCAACCCTAATCAAACACACCTGAACAAGCTACTCAACATCTTCAAGATTACTAGAAAGTTAAAGGCAGGTGAGTTTGATCAAGGTTAAAGCTAAACTTTGCAGGAAACTAGAACTCGAGGACCAGAATTGAAAACCACTGGTTTAGGTTTTAGGAGGACTGTGGTATTAGGGGATCTAGGTTTGATGGGGTTTTTGGAAAGACCTGGCACTGTTCTGGGATTTAGGCAGTCTTGCACTGGTCTGAGTCTCGGAGGTTCTTGACTCCAACTTTGGTTCTGAATGGGGGGTTAAAGTATCCTCTGATTTATCAGATTAGGTTCAGGTGGTACTGTTCATGATCACTTTATACTGTGACAAGGTAAATATGTAGAGAGGTAAAGTGATGGGACTCACGCTGCAGGAACGACTCCAGGGGCTGCATGTACTTGCTGTATTGCTGGGGAATTGATCGGTTAAATTTAATTTCCAAGGACCTCGGCCTGATCATCAGCCCTGTGGACAAAATATGCCATGCAGATGTACATGATACAAATTAATGGAGATTGTAGCACATTCGTGTTATCTGTACACTGATTTAATGTGTGCATTGAGACATTTTTAGAATGTTTTCTTGTTTCTTATTTACAATACTTCAAAACTATCCATACAAGATTCCTTCCTTTCTTTTCACCTTCATGAATTTTCCAGTCTTTCATGATGGCATGACAATGATTTGCAAAAATCATTTTACTGACTGCTAATTTCTAGCTTTTTAAGAGGTAAGCATAACTACAAAAATAGATATTTAAAAAGGGAATTTTGAGGTTTTTGGTATCAATAAAAAAAAATCTTATATTTACAGATTTTCCATGTGGGAATTTCAGACATTTATCAGGTCACACTTTATTTTAAGGTCAAATTCTCACTATTAGTGAACTATTTACACAGCTTCAATAAACTCCTAATTTGCTGCTTAGTAATAGTTAGTAAGGTAGTTGTTAGGTTTAGGTATGGGGTACATTTACATTTATTAATTTAGCAGACGCTTTTATCCAAAGCGACTTACAACTGGGGAATACATCAAGCGATTCATGGATTAAGGGATCTAAAATATGGTCATGCAGAACAAGGCATTAATGTGTGCTTTATAAGTACTAATAAACAGCCAATATGCATGCTAATTAATAGTGAGAATTGGTCCTTAAAATAGTGTTACCATTTATTATTTATATGTGCAGAATTAGATGTTTGCACTATTTCAAAGGCACCTAACACTTGTACTAATGCTCACTGTGTGCGTTTTATTATTGTATCAGAACATTTTTTGGTTATAATAATTGATGTGTGCTCATTAACGCCTCAAAATCTTGCTTGGAACAGTCAATGCACTGATATTTGGACACACTAAACCGCAACTTGCACTGATATTTGGACACACTAAACCGCAACTTGTCTGAAATGATGTCCAACTGCGTCTGTACTGAGAACATTCTGTTACTAAAAGATATCGAGGAGGAGAGGGGGCTGAGGGAGGTAAGAAAATAGATGAGTGGGTGGAATAAATTGACACTTGGGGAAGGATGAATGATAGCGAGAGAGAGACCTGTGAGCTGCGTCTCACTTCGCCGGGTTTAACGGCGCTCATAATCGAGCGAGAGGATGGAACTGGAGCGCTCTCATCGCAACCACTGTACACAAGTGTGTGGGCTGCAGTGTCTATCCACTGTCTGTGTGTGTGTGTGTGTGTGTGTGTGTGTGTGTGAGAGAGAGAGAGAGAGAGAGAGAGAGAGAGAGATAGAGTGTGGGGGAGGCTAATGGATGATGTGTAACACTGCTGTTGTGTGTTCTGATTGCAATGGAGGTAACAGTAAAAATAGCACAGAATAAATCATATCAGCTAAACGACACCTCTACTGCACATTCTGTCTGTCCTGTTACTCTCAATGTTATTCTCAAAAGAAAGTCAAGTCAGAATTGTGAGATTTGGCAGAAACAAGCTTCCATATCGTACTATCACACTGCTTCTACTTCTCCAGTATTCAATATATATGCAGTATGTGGGTTTTCTGTATGAAACATCTAGATGACTTGACTAAATTCAATGGAGTGCGAATAAACGCAAAATTGGTTAAAAAGATAACTATGCAACTGGCTTAAAACGAGATTTCCCATTTCATTTTATTTGTGTAGTGCTTTTCATAGTACATATTGTTCCAAAGGGTTTTAACAAAGAATATTGTCTTAATGCTGTGGGTTTGTTACCTGGACTGGCCACTCGGTCCCTGTATCGGGGAGTGTGCTCATCCAGCGTCTGTAGCATCACCCACATGGTGAGACTGAACATTCCCGCCAGGAAGCCATAGAAGACCAGATAAAAGAGGAATATAAGAGCTGCAGAGAGAAGACAGACACATTAAACATGTACCTTTTGCTTCCATAACATTAAATGTAACAAGCAATGGTTAGTACACAGAGTCCACATTAAAGAGCGCGTCATCCGGAAAGCATCACGTTTTATTTAAGAACACTTGATAAACATCATAAAAGGGTGGATTCACAAACATTCGGAATCATAAACCGCGCAAAACGTCAGCAGGAGAGAGTCAGCGTGTGGATTCAGAGGTTTGTCGTTGTATGGCTCGGCGGTCTGAAACTAGTAGTGCAACAGTGAGGATTAAACTAGTTCCGGCGGTTTGCTCCTCCACACAAGGACGTGTCACAACAGAAGGAAGGATGGGAACGAGGTGGAATGTAACAGCTGAATGCTCTGGAGAAAAGCAAAACATAATGTTAGCAATCTGGGAGAACGAACGACAGCAAGAAATGGGCGGCTTATATTTCACCTTATATTTGCATTAAGAAAATGATGCATATTTTTCGGATGATTATTCTGATGGATCCTGGCATTGTGACATTTTATCATAAACAATATATGTTAGTTCGACCAATGCTGTGCCTCTGGGGTGGAACTGTTTGCTAAATATGGATATATTATCAATAATGAACCATTTTTATGTTTGCATTTTAAAAAGATTACCAAAAACAACTCACAATTCAATATTTCATTGCATATGAATTCAAGTGAATTGTTACACACCTACTCACTACTGTAATGTGAAAAGGTCTGTAATTATTTTAATGAGACATAATAAAATCGTGATGTGCAGAATATGGAAGCCCGTTTCCTCTATTAAATAAAAAATAAAACAAGGTAATTGCGAGTTTATATCGCGCAATTCTGACTTTATAACTCGCAATTCTGAGAAAAAAAGTCATAATTGCGAGATATGAACTCTCAATTGTGAGAAAAGAATAAAGTCAGAATTGCGAGATATAAAGTCGCAATTCTGAAAAAAAAAAAGTAAATTCTCACTTTCTTATTTTCTCACAATTGCGAGTTCATATCTCGCAATTATGACTTTTTTTCTCAGAATTGCGAGTTATAAAGTCAGAATTGCGAGATATAAACTCGCAATAACCTTGTTTTATTTTTTATTTAAATGGCGAAAACGGGCTTCTATAGCAGAAACATGTAGAAGCAGTAAAATATAAAAGCAGTACTACACAAAGATCATCTTATTTTGCACTAAAAAAGCGCGAGTGATTTTGAATCTCTTGATTCTGGGGGGACATTTAATTTTCGTGAAATTCGCCTAGATATTGAAGCAGATTTGGCTGAATGAACGCTTGAATTATTGAAAAAGTAATATTTTGGTCAGCACTCCATTTGTGACAAATTAAGCACAACAATTGTAGGGAGATGAATGATAACTCATCCCCCCCACCAACACTCACACGTCCAGAGAAAAACAAAGTAATGACTACAGACTGCAGAACCGAGACGTCAAGGCCCAGTGAAACAAGAAATCACGGTTTACTCATATATATATATATATATATATATACCGTGATTGATATATATATAAAAAGAATGACAAAGAATAATTCGTTCATTCGTTTACTCATACACTATAGCTATGGCTAATGCTACAGTTCATTATATGTGGAAAGAAAAAGCAAAAGTATTGTCCACTGTATAAGATGTTATATTGCATATAAAGGCCAAGACTGAATCTCATGACTTGCATTTTCTTGATTCTTATAGAAAAGCTGCATAAACCTGCTAAATAGTAGGGATGCACGATATTGGATTTTTGCCGATATCCGATATTTTTCAACTCATTTTGGCCGATAGCCAATGCCGATACCGATATATTTCCGATATATGTGTTTTTTTAACAAGAACTTATTTGTTAGAATTAAATAAACAATAATGAAGTTCTTTTATAATGACAGTACACTGAAGCTTTGGAAATAACTATAAATAAACTGTATATCAATCGCTGCATTTTTTTTTCCAGAAAAATGCAGTAGTAACCTTAACATTATTTTAAGATTTAACATTTGTAGATGGTCAAAGCAAAAGAGCGGTAAAAAATTCTGAAAATCTTTTAGAGCTCATAGTTTGTTTAAAAAATAACATATTATACATTAATGAATAAATCAGTATATATAAAATTATTTAATTTACAAGCGTCATGTTTGTGATTTTTTAAAATTCTTTTAAGCGATAGCTTCTGACCTTTAAATCAAAACATACTCATGATTTTATGACATCAATTACTAATTTATTTAATCAGAAACACAGTCTAAATGTTATTTGTGTTGCTTTCATTTTATTAAAAGTAGGCCAACAGCGCCCCCTACGGAATTAAAACCCTTTACCGAACGAGCATTAGGACCCCGGGGAGGCTGTCGTTGCTGCATGTGCTATTACCGTTTACTCTATCATACACCGAATGCTTTGTTTAAATGTAGCGATCCAAAGCAGTGAATCTAATTGCCATTCAGGCAAAACTTTGCTTCCAGAATGAGTCACACTTCTGATGTGATCTAATCGCTAGCACACCCTGAGCACATGTGAGTCAACGTATTCCTCTTATCGGCAAGACATATCGGCATATTTTTTTCATATCGGGCAGATGCCGATATGTACATTTAAAGCCATTATCGGCCGATTCCAATATAGGTCTGATAATATCGTGCATCCCTACTAAATAGATTTACATGTTAAACACTCATTGGCTGCTGAAAGAATGATCAAATGAGCCAAAATCTATAATAAAAAGAGCATGAAAGAGAGAGGATCTGTAGAACTTTATGAATGATGGATGTTTGAATCGTATGGACTTTTTGCTAAATTCTGAGGCTTCAGATTCCATGTGGACACGCTTAGACATAAGAGATATGTCCCTTAAAGAAACATATGAATGTTTAAAATGTTTGAAGGGGGAAAAAAAAAAAAAAAAAAAAAAAATCTACAAAACAAGGTTATTTTAGACTAACTGAGATACTATTAGTTAATTTTTATTTTTATATTGTCCATGTTCACTTTAAATTTAGTTAAACCAAGTATTGTTTGGGCATTTGTGTCAATTTTATTATGCTTTTCCCCTTTAAATGTGTCTATATAGTTTTTCTTCATTATTATTTATTTGTATTATTATTATTATTTAGCCGAACTAAATAAAAATAAGAAATGTTACCTTGACAGCTAGCTGACATAAAAATATATATATATTTTTGGTTTGTTTATTTTGTCAATTAATTGTTTATTTTATTTCAAATAATGAAAATGTGTTATTGTATGGTTTTAGTTAACTGCAATAACGCTGCTACCGATACAGCACAGTGATTGTATCTATGGTATTTCAGTACACCGCTGTACTGTTTAAATGCCATATTTACATACTGTGGTATTTCAATGGTACGTCAAAGTACTGGAAGAAACGCCATGCTGTTACTGTAAAAAAATTCCCAAGATTCCATAGTGGGCCAAACAACAGCACAGAAACACTCTTTTCTTGTTTGTTGGTGTTATGTAGCGGCTCTTGAACAGAGAAGAACACACCAGGTCTGAGGTAAGAGAAAATAAATACCATCTGAATAATAATTAAAGCATTTTAAATAGCAAGAGAAAACGCTAAAAGAGGGGAAGTAAAGGACAGTGTATAAGAGTGTGTGTGAGAGAGAGAGAGAGAGGCTCAGTTTAATTATAGATGCATTTCTTCTTTGCCGATGTCTCTGAGGTAGTAGACTCTTACTATAAATAGCATCTGGGGGAGGACGGTTTAGTGATGGCACAGCACTGGCCTAGGGAGTCAAACACACACACTTTCTGCTTCTGCTGCCTGTCATAATATTCCCCCGGTGAATCAGTCTTAAAGTGTGTACCACTGCACGCCAGACATGCAAATGAACAGCCATCATTAGATCTCTCCAAAGAATTTACATGCAAATTGAAAATTCTACATAAGGGTTGATGACATGACACTCATTTATGCAACTGGATCTATTCATTTATTTATAAAATTCCACAAAAATGCATTTCACACAAACAACGACTTAATTACACATCTAATGATGAACATGTTTTCAATTTCTGATTTATATAATTTATCAGATTTTTTTTTTCCAAAGTGGCTGGTGGCATAAAGTAAGGTGATATCGCATTGAAGGAAAAAGACTCACTAAAAGAACATTATTATTATTACTTCTAAGAAATAAAAGGCTTCACTGCTTGTTCATATTTGAACTTTTGTTTGCCAAATCTAACAACCATGCAGAAACATCTAAAAAAAAATTCAAGGCCAATAAGTATCTTACTTTATGAATTTATAATTAATTATATTAATAAAAAATATTTTTCATTAAATGTAAACTTTTGATTTATTTCCTTTTAAAAAAAAAAAAAAAAAAAAAAAAAAAATCACAAGAAAGCAAGAACACAAATAAGTTTTAACTACATTTTTTTAATTACTGAAAATTTCTCCCCAAAATGAAATGTTTGTCATCATTTACTCATCATTATTTCTCAGGTGGACCATGAGTTGTAGGAGTTATTTTGCAGAATATCCTTGTTGCTCTTTCCGTGTTGTGGAAGAATGAAATCAGATGACTTTTTATCAGATGCATTTTAACTTCAACCAACTGACTATAAATGTGCATGGATCCAAACAGAATGCAGAATCTCAAACAGGCGTTTTATACTGGAAAAGGTGCTACCTTTCCCCTGTGATAAATCTCTTTTAGCCAATGATGTGACATTGGCTAGTTTCTTGGATGGGGTTAATAGAGTTATTAATCAGACGTGGCTCTCGTTAGAGCTAAATTTCCTACTGTAAATATATTAAAACTTATTTTATGATTAGTAATATGCATCGCTAAGAACTTCATTTGGACAACTTTAAAGATGATTTTCTCAATATTTAGATTTTTTTGCACCCTCAGATTCCAGATTTTCAAATAGTTGTATCTCGGCCAAATATCGTCCTATCCTAACAAACCATACATCAATGGAAAGCTTATTTATTCAGCTTTCAGATGATGTATAAATCTTAATTTCTTAAAAATTGACCCTTATGACTGGTTTTGTGATCCAGGGTCACATATTTCATCTTAAACGCATGACTGTGTTCGTCAGCCACCACTGAAGACCATTTCTGAGCAAGAAAAGCCCACAGAAGCGGATGTGGTAATGGTGCGAAAGCTGAGGAGACAAAGACACTCAGACGGATCTGGATAGAGGAGCAGTAGCTGCTTATTGCTCCTCATCACATCAGCTCATATCTCCATTCAATCGAATGCACCGCATCTCGCTAATGCCTCTTCCATTAGATATGATCTCACAGAGTCAATAACACTGGCCTTCAACATTCCTCTATTATTCCCTCACTAGTGTGTGTGTGATTCTGTGGGCCAGTTGTAAAAGATTTTCAAAGATACAATTTCTGCTGTCCAAACAACAACAACAAAAAAGGATTAAAACAATATTGGAATTTAGACTGAACGGTGTGTAAAAATATTATAATTTCATCAAATTAATTTAAATGCACATAGACTACTTAAACTCAATATTATACGGACAGTATTAAATGTTATTTATATTATTATTTATTTATATTTTCCATTTAAAAAATAAAATACTCAACAGTTTTCCAATGGAATAATTTTTGGATACAATGAAACTTTCTGATTCCAGATTTCTACATGAAGCACACAATTCTAGATTGAAGTTTTAGCATAAATGTTTAAGAAAATACAGGTGAAAGTAGTAAAGATTTCACATATTTGCAAATATATTGCAATTACATAATTTGGACATCATTTCTTGATGCATCAAGTTAGACATATGACAATTGCAATTAAACTTTTTTTTTTCAAATCTTTGTTTTCATTTTCTTAACCTTCTGTGGAAAGATGTTTTGCAAAATGAGTTTAAGAAAATGCACAGACTTTGGGGTGTATTTGGACTACAGAACATTTAATCTGATTCCCAAAACTTTTCGAAATTGGGAAAAGAAATTCCTGAATCTACCAATTATATAGTGAACAATTATTATATTTCACCTAAAGATGTTAATGATATACTTTAGTTTTGTTACATCCATGATAAACACTCTAAAAGTTTAGAGTTTGCAATTTTTCCCCAAAGTTAATATATATATCTCCACCAACATAGATCAAATATCAACATCTGGCTCTAACAATTGCGTGAACTGGAGGTGAAACTGTCTGAACAACAGAAGACGGATGTAAGACTGTTTGAAAAACTATCATAAATGATCATTATTTTTGCAATTCAGTTTGATGCATTTCTTAGGTGGCATTAAAGATGTTTGCTTTGTTCATAGAGCACAAATGAATGGAATAGGTCTCTTAAAATGCATTTTAATTAAATAGAATTTTAAACTGATTTATGTCTTAAACACTCATTCATTACTTTTACATGATAAACTTACAAATTTAGTGACTTCACTAATGAACTGTGTGTAGTCTGGGGCAGGACCGAAACAGGCTGTCACAGGAAATAAATGAAAGAGACGGAGGAATGGAGAGAAGAGAAGCACAGAATGAATGATGGGTCACAGTGAAAGACAGGAGACAATCAAAGCACACAGGAGCAGTCTTTATCAGCAGCTCCTCTCAGCTGTCGAGAAACCCAAGCCCTGAAGAACCAGATACTGTCCTCCTCCTCCTGTGCCCAGGCATGCTGGGATAAAAATACCCATGCTGGGGGGGGGCGGGGGTAATATAGGGTCCCGTACTGAGACTGTGGCTACACAGAGTGAGCAGCATCCATAAGTGTGTTTTTCTGTAAGCGGATACGCTTGACTCCGGCACGGGACGGCCATCACATCAACAGCCACATGTTACTGTAAGAGAAGACAAGCTGTACCCTCATTTAAAGACAGAAGAGCCTACATGACCTTGATGATCTGTAGGATTGTCTCAATTATATCGGATATGATATTGTCTATAAAAAAAAAAAAGGCAATAAAAAGATTATTGTTTAAATACTGGGGATGCACGACATTGGATTTTTGCCGATATCCGATATGCCGATAATTTAACTCATTTTGGCCGAAAGCCGATGCAGATACCGATATATAATTATTTTAAATTTTGGTTAGTTTTTAACAAGAACGTATTTGTTAGATTTAAATAAACAATAATAAAGTTATTTTATAATAACAGTACATTGAAGATTTGAAAATAACTATAAATAAACTATATATTAATCACCGCATTTTTTTTTTTTATCAGAAACATGCAATGGTAACCTTGACATTTTATTTTATGATTTAACATTTGTAAATGGTCTAAAGCAAAAGAGTTGTAAAAATTCTGAAAATCTTTTAGAGCTCATAATTTGCTTATATATAAAATATATAACATATTACACATTAATGAATAAATCTAAAGAATATATACAATTATTTAAGTGTCATGTTTTTGTTTTTTTTCTCATGTAAGCTTTAGCTTCAAACTTTTAAAGGGGTCATATGATGCTGCTAAAAAGAACATTACTTTGTGTATTTGGTGTAATGAAATGTGTTTATGCGGTTTAAAGTTAAAAAAACATTATTTTCCACATACTGTACATTATTGTTTCTCCTCTATGCCCCGCCTTTTTGAAACGCGTCGATTTTTACAAAGCTCATCGGTGTGAAAAAGCGAGGTGTGCTGTGATTGGCCAGCTATCCAATGCGTTGTCGAATGCCGAATACCTCAAGCGTGACCATGTATTTTTGTAAGAAAAATATCCATATTTCAAACGTAATAAACACTTCATCTAACTGTGGTACGCAGAAGTCGTTTCGGCGGATGACGTAGTACGTCGGCGCTGCGTGATTAGTGACGAACGTGGAGAGAGAACAAAACAAAACGCCGGTCACGAATTAGAAGTACAAACCGAGGATTTGTAAAGAAAAATGTCGGAGGATTTCGATATAAACCAAGAGGAGACTGGTTTTCCTTTGCTAAAGTGAGGAAACTTTGCTTCCTTTGCTCCTATAAACAAACTTGCGAGACTAGCATACCTCAGAGGCGCATACGTGCTGCGTCATCCGCCGGAACGGCTTCTGCGTATGACAGATACCGGAAGTGAGAGAAAAGTGTTTATTACGTTTGAAATATGAATATTTTTCTTACAAAAACACATGGATTCACTACAGGAGGCCTTTATTCACCGCACGGAGCCGTGTGAGGCACGTTTTATTATGGATGCGCGCGCTTTATTTGACGACTTGTGGACTGTTCAACTGCAACACCTGCTGACTGCAATGATAGAGCTTGGAATAGCCAGGACAATTTTTAATATAACTCCGACTGGATTCGTCTGAAAGAAGAAATTCATATACACACAGGATGCTTCGAGGGTGAGTAAAACACATTTTCAATGGTCCCTGTAGCGTGCCCTCAATCTGTAATGGGTACTGTAGTCCAAATTCAAAATACTGAAGAGACTGTTTCTCCCAACCCATCCGCTAGCTGTCAATATTACAGTACATACTGCACCTTTATGGCCACTGATGGTTTCCCATCTCAAAAGGAAACACATCAACACAAGAAAGCATTTCTCCAAAGTTTCTTGCTCTACACACCATCAACTGAATTCCATCGTAAAGCACGTTTTAGCCCAGTGTGTGATCAACAGGGGTAATGGCACCGGTGCGGACAGCTCGGCTCTGGAGGCTGAGGAACAGAAGAGTGGCGAGACACCCAGTGAACAGCTGAGACTCCCAGTATGACGTTCCTCGCTGCCAGAATCCCTCCTCCAGTGCCGCTCCCTCAGGCTTGTGCCAATTCATTCACACCACTGCGGCGGCGCCCTCAGCTACACATTCTCTCTTCTCATGAGTAGTGCTAAATTTACTAGCATAAAATACTCTGGGCATGAAAGAGGGCATTGAAGTAAACTGTGGTGTTTGTGATGGTAGCAAAGACTATAGATATACAAATACAGTTCACTCCTATTACTTATTAATGGAAGAAACTGCAACAAGCAATATGGCGGAATAGACCTGCCCAGGGTTGCCAGGTTTTCACAACAAAACCTGCCCAATTGCAACTCAAAACTAGCCCAATGGTCCCCCAGTAAAAATCACGTTCCGGGGGGTAAAATACACTTTTTTTTTTGTGAGGTTCCCCTGGTAAATTTCGAATTGCAGGGGATAAATATCACGTATTTGGGGTCGCTTCAACCCACGGACATGCAAACCAACCCGCGGCAACAGTGTTAAAGTATCCCAATTCTGTGGAAAAAATGTGGACTTGGTAACACTGGTCCCGCCTTCTAAATGAAAACGATTTCCTCTATTAATTCAAGCCTATGTATTTTTTTTTTCACTCAAAATGATAAAAGAGAAAATGTAAAAATACACCCTATAGCTTCTTGTAATGGGTCCAGAACTCCCACCCGCTGTTTGCCATGAAGGCAAACTGAGCCAAGCCAGTTACTGAGGAGGGATTTGATCACCAAGAGTTAAACCTGAATACAGATCAAATCTGTCATTAATCACAGTTACAAGCTGATATTATTTTGCAGCACTGAAACCACATCTATAAACTTCCACAAAAAACAAAACATAATGAAAGTGCTCCATATGAATCATGCATATTATTCCAAGTCTTCTGAATACAGATGACAGTTTTGTGTGAAGAACAGAATGGGATTTAATTTACCCAAAAATAGTCTACAATTGTTTATACCGCCCTCATTCAAAACTGTAAAACATTTTTCCAGTGGAACACAACAGATATGTTGAGGAAATCTCTCAATGTCAATCTAAGTCAACTGGGTCCAGTGTCATTTGGACCCCAATGTCTGTCCAAATATCTTGTGTTCCACAGAAGAAACAAATGCATATGGTTTTGGAACGACATGAGAGTGAGTAAATGATGGCAGATTTGTCATTTTTGGGTGAACTTCGTCTTTAAGTTGTTGTTCAATTCTTCCCCTCATTCAGTTTCAAAATGGTGCATCAATGCAACATGAGGAATTTAATGTGACTGACTAAGCAAACTATGGAAGCATATAGGTAGCGAAATTCAATTTAAAATGCAATATGCAAAGTGGCAATGCAATATTCAAAATGGCAATGCAATATTCAAAATGGCAATGTATTTCTGTATTTAAATTTAAATTTCCATTACCCATACGTGCAAAGTTTGTTGCAAAAAGAAAATGAAAATGAAATTATATAATTTACATTTGCCATTTCCAACAGTAGTCTTAATATGTAAACTGCATACAAATTTTAACGCTTTATAAGTTGCAAAATTAAAGTTAAAATATATAACACAAATTGATTTGATATGTATAACATGTTCAAGCAGAAATGGTAGCATAATGATCATTTAAATGCTATTTGTCCTAAATGCATTTAAACTAACAGTTAGAACACTTCGGATTGCATTTTCATCATGACGCCGTGGGATATTTGTAGCAAAATTCAGTGCGGCTTTGAAAATGCATTCCGAGCTGACCACGCCCACCCTCCGTCAATCATTGCTTCAAGGCGGTGATTGGCGGAAACGTGTTACGTTTGGATTGTTCGAAACAAGGCGGCTCGAGATCCGATTAGATCGTCAAATTCACTGGCAGATGAAGTGGAGCGTGAACAGAGAAATATATGAAGCGTACCCCATGCTAAACTCAAACGTTCGAACGACCGACTGACCGATCGAACGTCAAACCGAACGTCTTGAGCTTTGAGCGTCTTGCACTGCAGGTGACCCACGTGACGTCAGCGTCTTGAAATTAGCTGGTGTTTAAACATTTAAGGAGCCAAGCTGCTGTGTAAAGACTATAAATGGACATTACAAACATTACAATAATGATATGTTATACCTAAAATAATACTCAACCATTTCCTGCATCCTGCTGTACTTCCCTGAATAAGTCTTTAAAGGTGTTGTAGGCTAATAAGTCGTTCTGAGTAATAAATTGAAAAAGCTCCCACCTGTATATGACTAAACAAAATAACGTAGTTTACTTGAGGTTCTGTTATAA